TCCGAAACCCCAAAACCACAAAGAGACCAGATCTGGTGCAAAAGCAAAGAGTCTATTTAATTTACAAGTAACTCGAGTTAACCCGGGTCCTCTATCCATCCAACATAGTGGGTGGAGTAGGAGAGTCCCTGAGCAGCAGTGGAGCAGGGCATATATTGGGGGTAGATCAAGGGGAGTGTCTGGGGGTTCACTAGTTGCATAGCAACAGTGTCACGATTGGTTCACCTCCACACTTGGGCAACCTGTTCTTAGTTGTTTGGTCAACTGCAGCTGCAGAAAGGTTGCTATACCTAGAGGCCATCCCGGGAAATTGCTATGCCCTGCATTCTACTGTTATCAGTAAAGCACATCCAGAGCCCACCAACTAACTTCTGATTGGTTCCTCGTCACATGGAGGGCATCTGCACGTTGTTTCCTAGTGATTAGGGCAAGGTTGGGGTCTCAACACATGTTGCTGAGTCAGGGGCCTATGCCTTGCTGGTTATTTTCTGCAGCCTGTCATGGCTGCTGAAGCAGGGGGCTGGGTCCCTTCAATATACTCACTCTTCAATTTTTTCCCCTTAATTACATGTCAGATACTGCTAATAACAGCAGGATGGTGCCAAGTCATTAAAGATATTTCTTCCAAGGTCCTTTTGTACACACTACTTCCTTCTCTCTTTAAATTTCATATGCTGAAGACCAGAGTAAAATAATACAGGATCTGGAAGTGCTGTTTCATGGTAGAGCACTTGTCTATCATGTGCAAACTGCAAGTTCAGTCCTCAGAATGGAAAAATAATTCTATGCTAACACAGTATCTTAAAAAACGATCACATATGTTCCAGTTGTCATAATAGGGAGTCCTGACACATTTTTTCCTGCTTGTCCTCCTCACTGCCCACTCCCCTTCCTCTATGGGTCCTCTTTCAGATCATATAGTGTGTGTATGATCTGCCATGTGCTTTCAGGCTGTCCTGCATGTGCACAGGTGTGTGTCACTAGTGAGCAGCATTGCTCTGAGGGCTCCTTAGGGTTGGCATACTGTCCCTGTCTTTACAGAGTCTGCTGAGCTGTCTCTGGTTGACAGGGCTTCATCCAGCTCACCGTTGGCCTGTGATGTCTCATCATTTACCAGCTCCCTCTGTTCTGAGCAGCATACCACTGCTGCTGGCAGGAAGCATGGGCACCAGTGTTTGTTCTGGTGCATGACCTGGCACGTCTGTTGACTTTTTTAAGAGTTCAAAAGAAGTATGTGTGCCAGCACTTTCAACTGTTTTGCTTTTAATCTTTTCGGTGGGTAATGTGTATGTCCCTAAATGCTATCTGTCCCTAGAGCTGCCACAGAGTCACAGGCATTGGAGGTTTTACCCATCTGCACACTGCTCTGTGACTTTCTCAGTTCTCTGCAATGTTAGAAAAACTTATTCCATTTTTTTCTTCAAACAGAAACTTCTTGAACTATTTTTCAAGAAAAAAATGTTATAATGTTATTCCTCTACTCCATTTCTCCCTGTTCTTTTCTTTTTTTTTTCTTTTTTTTTTCATCTCTATAATTTGTCACTACACTGTGTGTTATTTTGTATACAGACTTTTTAAAACTAGAGAACAAATAACCACATTTATGTTGGTTTTAGTGGTTTTGTCCCACAGAGAGCCAAGTATTATAATGTGATTGTTACATTTCTTGCTGTTCCAAAACTCAAAGGAGAATTTTTAAAAGTGAAAAAAACTTCCATTTGACCAATGCAATGAAACCAATTAATTTTATTTTTCCTTTTTAGAGTTTTTTTCCCCTCTCTTTTCCTAAAATTTAACTACCTACCGACCTACAGTCTGTCTACCATCTTAACCTTGTGTGTTTCTGTTATATATCACTGTCTCTATTAGACATCAGGAAGATGGCTCCAGGTCATCACTCTGGAACATTCCAGGCACTGGCTTCTCTCCTCTTCTTCCTTGGTTGGATAGCCTCCTTGTGTGGCAAGCCAGTCTCCATGTGGCTCCCTTCTTTCCATCTGTCCTACCTGGTAGTTGGTAGAGTGTGGATTTCTTTCCAATAGGACTCTACAGGTATTCCTGCCTCAAGATCTGGCAGCTAGTGTCACTTCAACAAACTTGGGTGGCCACTCAGACATCCTTGCTGGTTACTTGCAGTTTTCTTTAGCATGAAAATAAAAGACCCAGAGTCAGGCTGAAGATCGGAAAAGCAAAGCAGCCAGACACTAGCTCTTACCTCCACCTCAGACTGAAAGGTGATCCTGTCTCCACCAAACCTCAGACTTCAATCCCAGAGCTATGATCTCCTGACCGTGTCTGGAGAATCCTGAGACTGACTATTGAAGACCCTGCTCCTATCAAGTGCTGAGATTAAAGGCATGAGCTCTGTTACTCTTTTAGGCTGATTCAATCTTGTATAGCCCTGGGTAGCCTTGAACTCACAGAGATCCATCTGCCTTTGTCTTCTGAGTCCTGGAATTAAAGGTGTGTATTGCCACCGACTAGCTATATGGCTGCTGGGATTAAAGGTGTGTTTCAACACTGCTTATCTTTATAGTTCAAGGCTGGCTTTGCTTCATGAATCCTTAGACAAACTTTAATTAACTCATAAACAATATGCCACAACAATTTTATCTTTTGAAAGACTTTCTAGTTTTGACATTCTGGACTTTGCCAATTAAAGTGGCTTTCCCATTTGACTTGACTGAAGAGTCAGGATTTAAGAAACCCCACTATTTCTTTGCACATTTCTCCACTTGTGTCTTTCTCTTTGTCGTCTCCATATCTATTGGCTGCTGGACCCTCATGCATAGCTAGATGGTTTGCCTTGTATTCTGAGACATTGTTCCCTTCCATTTTCCAATATGGTTGTTGGACTTTTACAAACTGTGGCCTTCTCTTCATAGCCATGTGCTCTGTCAGGGCCTTCTGTTCTGGTCCCATGTGTCAGACTTGCTGGAGATGCCAATTACTGGACTTTTACTTTAAAGTTCTCTTCTAGTTTTTGACATTTCTGTTTCTGCAAAGTCATGTTTTCTTGCTTACCTTGAATTTTAGTACCTCAGAATCCCCACACATGTCTTGCAGTCCTTTGCTTTCCACTTGCATGGGATGAAACCACACGTGTCTAGCTAAGTTCCAGACACCTGCACTCTGAGGTGACAGTATCCCATAGCTATGCTGTCCCTTCAAGCCTATGCCTCAGTGACTTTGAGAACAAAACCTTGCTTTGGATACCTGGTCCGGTTCCTATGCAAAGGCTTTGCCCTGCCGTTTCTACATTCACTATCCCTTCTGTGTTCAGCAGGGCTGCCTGGCTTTCTCTGCAGTTGTGCCTATGGTGGGTGTGGTCTGGTCTTCAGCTCTCTTTGCTCATTTTCCTTGATGTGTATTCCTCTAATTTCTCTCCCTGGTTTAGAATTGAATTTGAATCATTCGTTGTATATTTTCTTCCCCAGATCATGTGCAGGTGGTTGACTCACATTCTGGCATCCTAACAGTCTCTAGGGATGAGAAAACAGCAAGCCTATCTATTCTGCTCTCTGAAATCAGAATTCTCTGTGGCCTTTCTCTGTGTGCATCAAGTATCAGCATCTAAGAGACTGAATCCTTGATGTAGAAAAATATGTTGGAATAAAAATTCAAAAGGCTTGTTTTTATTGTAATTCCAATTTCATAGCATAAAAGACCTCAACTTTCCTTAATCTATTTTGTATTTTTCTTAATATTTTTGTCTGCTAAATAAAAAAATCTGTTTAATTTCAACTTTTCCCCATGCCATCATTTTTTTAAGATTTTATAAACTTTGCCATTTAAAAAACTTCACAATAAAAAACACCACAAACTGGAATTAGCCAGACCCCAAATCTATACAATTAAGTTAGGTGTATACGGTTAGAATTGACTACTTAAATGGAAGCTGTAGAGTGTCACAATAAATTTTACATTAAATTACTTGTTTGACAGTATTTTAAATGTTTATTTCTTTCCTTTCTCCCTCCCTTCCTCCTTCTTATCTTTCTTCCTTTTTCTCCTCCCTTCAGCCTCATTCCTTTGTATATTACTGTCTTCATCCTCAAATCTATTCCTTTGTGTACATTTATTTCAATTTGCATCGATGAACTAAACAACCCACTTTATGAAGGATAAAAGTAACACTAAGAGTCTGGGGGAACTTTTCCTTGGGACCTAAAGAGTCCCTAGACTTTTGACATGCTGTAGGCCTCCAGACAGGAAGCCTAACAACTATAGATCTGAGTCAGCAGCATCTGGAGACAGCTAGGTTCTCCATGGAAATGTGTGGAAGGTTTTTGGAGTCAGTGTTTTATTTAGAGACAGCCAATTTCTGTCAGTCACAGCACTGGCCTAGCGGTATGTGCCTTACTGTCCTTTATTTTCTTCTAGTTTCACAGGCTCAGGTAATTAGGCAAGAGGAGAGATTGTGAACTAATCTGTTAAAGTCTACCTCAGCCAGCAGGCAAAGGAAGATGGAAGGCCACTCTTCCTGTCAGTGTTTGGGAAATGTGTTCTTGTTCACTGTATTTTGTAGAAGAACTAAGTCAGGGTCTTCACATTGCTCCAGTTGTCTGTATAATCCTAACCTCATAGTTCTGCAACCTTGCATCAGAAGATTTATCAAGAAGTGGATTTTTTAAAACTCAGGATAATGTCTATTTTCTTTCTTTCTCGTCACTTAACCCTTATTCTTTCCCACCCCTCAGACTCTTCAGTATTACTGCTGATTTTATCATCCTTTTATTTGTTGAGCCCTTGTTATTTTACCTATTCTGCTATTGCTGCTATGGTCTTCCCTGCTGGAGTGATCCACCTGTCCTTAGGGTATCCATGGTGTCCAGTAAGAAGACATTGCTCCTCCCTTTTCCTAAACACATCACTGCAACACAACACAAGAACATAGAGCCTGAGTGCACAAAAGGAGAGGGGTTGGAATCCTTTATCTTTGGCTTTCTGTACAACCTTTTTATTTTGCTTTCTTACTTTGTTTTATTTTATTTAAACAGAGAACGGACATTCTTTGAAGTCTTTCATGACCACTACAGATGAACCCAATGTACCAACTTCCCAACAGACTATAGAGTATTAGAAGATGTTTACAGTTTGAAGGAGGGAAACAAACCTAAACTGTTGTCTGAATTACTAAGAACTAACATATGACAAGCTTATTAGAGACATGTACAAATAAGTTTAATGTAGTTCAGTTGGGGGCATATGCTTAATTGTCAGGGCAGCTAAAGTTTAAAATTAATATTCATGGTCTCTGCTTCAAATTTTTAATTTTCTGATCCTCAAATGTTAATGGTGTGACTGTTGCTGTCAGAACATATTCTATTATCAAATATGATAGAAATATAGTAGAAATTGCTATAACAACATGATCTCTAATGGGCAACTTCTGACATACAGCCTTGCAAAAACTCCACATACAAACTGCAGGGAAGGTATTTAGTTTTTATTTCTATGTGGGAAAGCTTCCATATCAGAGTTCTTTACAGATACAAAATGATAAATTTCAAGTTCTCTTAAATAACATGATTTTTGTGTACCAAATTTGGAGCAATCTAGGAATTTTAGTTTTTTTATGGTCTTAAACATGGCTTAAGTTCTAACTCTCAATTTAGTTTAAAGAGAGCCAGAAGTTGTGGTTTTTGATGATCACAGACCAATGCGAGCTATGCTTCATATTAGAATAACCCTACACACTCAGGTCAGATTGCCCAGAGCAGAAGAGAGTACTAACCTCCATGAATCTAATTTATTTCCACTGAAACAGTCAAGACTTCTGGCAGGCAAGGAAGTGTGCAGGAAAGAGAGACTTTATGGAGTTTTACAAATAGTTCATGGTAAGAACAGGGCTTTTCTCCCTGAAAAAACAGATTTATTGCCATGTCTGTAGTATTCAGGCTTTACTGCTTACATTCAAACTAAACCAAATTGATGAACACAAGAAAACTCAAATTTAAGGTATGTGGGTAACTTAGATGTGGTTGGTAATTATATTTGAATGTCTAAAGAAAATTAAGACACTAGGAGGATGTATCCCCTTTTCTTGTATTTACTATTAATAGACATCATTGCAAAATAATGTTCAGCTGTGAACTTAAGAAAGGTTATTTTTCAATTCTTATATCCATAGGGTTAAAGAAATTTTGAACAAATATACTTGTAACACATTTTGTGAATGGTGATATATAGTTCAGTAATGTGTGGTTAAAAATAACATTTATTATTGAAACTTTCCTCATGAATGCTTTTTAAGATGGCCATGACTAGTTCCACAATTAATTATTCATAAAGAAGCTTTAGGACCCATGGAGTATATGAAACAGATCATTTGAATAACACACATGAGCTCAAATGCATGCTGTATTTCTATTTTTCCATATTGATAGAAAGAAGATAATGAAATGAATTGATCAGATGTTAAGTTCATTTAAAATTTTAGAACAACTCAATAATATAAATAGTAGAAACATTAAGGGAAAAATAAAATGTTTGAAGGAAGTGACAAATGTATAGATTTCTGTCAGAAAAAAATGTCAATTTTCTCTTAATTTTTTAACAGTACTTGTCATTCACTATTTTAACACTTACATATGTCTATGCCATTATTATATTTATTCCTCTATTACTAATATATTTCAGTTAAGAGTTTGCAGCTGCTATGTTTTTATATGGGATATGCTTGCCATTATAAACATTTGAGTATACTGCTATCTCAGGCAATAACTAAGAATTCATTTGATTAGCTTAAAAAATATAACATTCAAATTCTAAATTACATGTATGATCTAGATCTATGAACCAAACACATCTTCTGTTTTTTGTGTTAACTATTCAATGTGATGTATCTGCAGTTATTTTTTATTTTGCATTTTAATTTTACATTTTAAGTTTACATTGTTTGTACTGAGCTTTGTGCACACAGATTTTTGATTTGTAGTTGCTTGGCGGGATTTCATTGTTATGTAACCATTGTTCTTATAAAAAAAAGATATGCTGTACATCTGTCTTGTGTGTTTGTCTTCATTCTATGTGTTCCATAGGGTATGTCTTTACATGAAGTTATGTATAAAGAATAACAGTTTTCAAGTCTATCAATGTCTCTTTCACCATCATTATCTTCAGCAAGTAAGTGCCCCATCAGGTGTTATTTTCAGTTAGCCTCAAGCAGATTCTCAGTATGACCAAAGGTAGGTACGTGTGGTGACATTTTGTTTGTACAAATAACATGTGTCTGAAGATCAGAGACATGAAGGAGCCAGCCACAGCACACCTTGTCAGTTTCCCAGCTGAAAAGACAGTGAGTTCCTGTATTATCCTGCCTATAATCCTTTTTCCGCCCAGCCACCTCACTTCCTGTCTGTCTGTACAGACCTCCAGTCCTCTATGGTTAGCTAGTGGCAAGCTCCACCCTCTGTTCTTCAGGCATGCATTATTTGTACAAACAAGGTATCACCACATGTGTGTTAAGTTAGTTGGTTACTCTTCCTTTACCTCTTATCCTGTGGAAGAAAGCAGTTATTGCTACTATCTTGGGGAAATTTGTTTGCTCCTTCTGTTGCATTCCAAACTGTTTTTAGTTTGCTTGAGTTTTTTTGTTTTGTTTTGTTTTTAATGCTTAGAGATTAATTTTTCATTTTGTGGAATTTCCTATAAAATAGAATGACTTTTTCAGAAATCATTTTGTGGAAATTACCATAAAACATAATGAATATAAAACAGAGTGACTACTATAAAAATAGGATGACTTTTTCAGAAGAGATTATTTTCCAGTCACAGTACTGAATCTCCATGGGGGGGGGGCTAAGCATTGGCAGGTATGGCTCACTTACTTGTAGCCATGACACAGTCAAGTATCTAATTCACTTTTACCCATGAAAGGAGGGTTGTGTGTTTATGTTCCTAGCATTTGAAAAATGCAAGCCTGAGACTTTCTTGTAGACTTTGAAAAGCTGAGACTGCCTCTCCCTTCTGATTTTTCATATTTCAAGTTTTCAGCCCCAAACAGTGTCATTTGTGGTTGGTGGATGTCCCTTGCACATTGGCCTTTCTGCAAGTGTGATAGAATGAAGTTGTAACATACTGAGCATTTAAATGTGTCTTTTCTTTTAGCCTGAAACATTTGAGCATCTTTTTACCAAGCATGCAGAATCAGTGATATTTGGTCCTCTTCTTCTGGAACCTGAACCCATTTCAGAAGAAATCAGTGTTGATACAGCTTGGAAAAATAAAGATGAGATGGTACCAGCAGCTATGGTCTCACTTCTTTTGACCACTCCAGATCCTGAAAGGGGTTCTATTTGTATTAGTGACCAGTGTAACAGTGCTACCTTCTCTGGGGCTCCGAGCACCCAGGTAACCTGTGAGGATGAGTGTCAGAGACAACCCTCAGTTAAATATGCAACGCTGGTCAGCCACTCAAAAACAGTGGATGCTGATGAAGAGCAGGGGCTTATACATGGTTCTGTCAGCAAGTGCATTTCCAGTGAGCACTACCCGCTGGAAGAGTCTTTCCCTAGCAGCTCCTGGGAGATAGAGACCCAGGCGTTTTTCCTATTATCAGATCAGCAACCCAGCACGATTTCACCACAACTTTCATTCTCGGGGTTGGATGAGCTTTTGGAGCTGGAAGGAAGTTTCCCCGAAGAAAATCATAGTGAAAAGTCTGTCTATTATTTAGGGGTCACCTCCGTCAAAAAAGAGAGAATGATATGTTTTTGACTGATGAGTCAGGAGTATTGTGCCCATTCCCAGCCCACTGTCTGTTTAGTGACATCAGAATCCTCCAGGACAGTTGCTCACACTTTGTAGAAAATAATTTGAATTTAGGAACCTCTGCTAAGAAGACCTTTGTACCTTACATGCCACAGTTTCAAAGCTGTTCCACTCACAGTCATAAGATAATGGAGAATAAGATGTGTGACCTCACTGTGTAATCTCATCCCAGCCCAGCGTACATGTGTAATATATTCTTTTACTGTTGTGGGTGTGGGAGACAAGTGTCAGAATCTAGTTCAAAAATGCATGTTTCCAAATTAATTGTGTCTGTCCTCTCTCAGTAATACAGACAAAACATACAAGGAAGCCTTCATGAGTCTAGTGATATAGATGGACTCTTATTGAATATAATGCCAAGCCAGCCTGGGGAGGTCTCCTATTTGTAGCTAAAAATAAGCCCTGAAAGTAGAATCTCTCTAGACATCTGGCCTCTGTGGAAAGAATAAATCCCAACATTATATTACACCTGAAAGAAAGGCTTCAAACTAAGATCCCTAAGATATAATTATTTCAAGGGTGTGTTTGTCTTACCTTGAGTTGTCTTGTGTTGTGCAAATTTAAACTGACTCAGTATCCTTGTGTGCTTTGGAAGTATGTGACATGTTTGTACTTTGTACTACCCAACTGTGTTATTTGAAGTATGACTCCATTAGATATGGACTATAAGTAGAGACTTGAACCCTACTGTAAGAAGTTACACTTTCGAAGAGCGACAGGTTAGCTAATCCCTTTCCACCAAAGCCAGGACCCATGACAGGATGAAAGCAACTGTTAGAATGACAGTTTCTTCACCAGCGCTTTGATGACAGTGTGAGCAGCTTTGAGAGCGCGATGGCAGCCTTAACTAAAGTACACTCAATTGATTATTTCCTGATAGATTGCCAAATGTCACTGCGTGCCACTCTAGAATCATCATCCCTCCTCATCTCCCCTGGGCTTTCTCCTCACTGAGTATCATTAGCTAAAACAACCACTGGGTTTTGTGGGTTGCACACTCTAACTTGCTTATTGCAATCATTGCTAGAGGAATTTGCTACACATTCCCACTGTATCATTGTCTCCTGTAAGGATGAGGCGATTAGGTCATTTGCCCAAAGTCCCAGACTTAATGATAGATGGAACTGGAATTCAGATTTAATTCACATCATTTTAATATTACTATTGAATTTTAAACCCAGATCTTACATTGGATGGCTTTAAAATCAAAACAACTGATGGTATCAAGAAAGACCTAGAAAAAAGAAACAGGGTAATGGGTGAATAATTGAAATCTAGTCTTGGACTTGAAAATTGATGTGGGGATGTATTATTTGTTGCATAGCAAGATGATTCAAATACAGCTTAGAAAACAGAAGTTGAATAAAAAGAAAGAAAGAAAGGAAAAAAGAAAAGAAAAATCCGCACATTCAGGTGTTCAATGTCAAGAAGAATTCCCAGAATATCAGTATCATACAGCGAATGCTGTAGTGTTTAACAGCATGCTTACATATGACCAAGCATCACCAGCATTTTATACTAACCTGAAACTTGGTTGTTGGTTTCACCATTAACCTAAATAGATCCTGCCATGCCATCTCTACCTCTAATTAGAGCTTTAAGATGAGCAGGTCTAAGTGATAAGACTGACCCTGACCCTACTTAGATTTTCCCAGGTTTTGTGTTCAGTGAAGCCATCATATGTCCTGAGTTGGTAAGATGGCTCAGGGTCCCACCATCAACTGATGTTGGTTTTGTCATACAGAGGTAGAAGGTAAAAGAATGATAATTGCTGTTCTCTATAATGATATGGGAAAAAATTTAATTATAATTTTTTTATTTAAATTTGAAACAAGCTTGTTTTACATGGCCATACTATTTCCTCACCCTCCCCTGTCCTTATCCCATTTCCTTTCTGCTCCTCAGGAAACTTGAGGCCTTCCATGGGGAGTCTTCAAAGTCTGTCACATCATTTGGAGCAGGGCCTAAGCCCTCCCCCATGTGTCTAGGCTGAGAGAGAATCCCTCTAAATGTAATGGACTCCCAAAGTACATTTGTATACTAGGGATAAATACTGATCCACTGGCAGAGGCTCCATAGACTGCCCAGGCCTCCTAACTGACACCCACGTTCAGGAGGTCATGGTTGGCCCTATGCTGGTTTCTCAGCTATCAGACTGGAGTCTATGAGCTCCCCCTTGTTCAGGTCAGCTGTTTTTGTGGGTTTCTCCAGCATGTTCTTGACCCCTTTGCTCATCACTCCTCCCTCTCTGCAACTGGATTCCAGGAGTTCAGCTAAGTGTTTAGCTGTGGGTGTCAGATTCTGCTTCCATCAACTACTAAATAAAAGCTCTAGGATGCCATCAATCTCATTATTGGGAAAGGACTTTTAAGGTAGCCTTTCCACTATTGCTTAGATTGTTAGTTGGGGTCATCCTTGTATATCTCTGAACATTTTGATATGGGAAAATTTTTGTTTCCACTGGGCTTCAGTAGCAAATTATTACATTTGAAATTGACCTGTCTATCACTTTTAATATTTGCCTATTGAGAAGAGCCCATTAATGGTGGGTACAGTATAGGACAGATGGAAAATTTAAACTGGAGATTGCCCACTGAGCATGTGCACTGTGATGGCATGGGCTCTGGCTTTCTCGGCCCAGAACAGTGTGTAAGAGAAAGTGATGGATATTTGAATCAGTTAGGAGCGAATCTGGTGTGAGAGCCACAGTGAATTCACCAATCATTGGTCAAGGAGATGCTGAGGTTTTAGGATAGAGGAATGTAGGAACAGCATGTGAATAGGAGCTCATTTTTCCATGCTGAGATGAATTTGCTTCTTAAAACAGAGAAATTGCATCAGAGAGGCTGACTGATACCTGCAGCCTCATTCAGAACAGGGGCTGAAATGCAGGCTTTGGGCTATGGGTACCCACAGGGTAAGACCAAGTTTATTGTGAGTGACTTGGGTTTTGACTTCCACTTCTGAAAGCTTTTTAGTGGCTTCTTTGGTTGGTTGGTTGGTTGAGTTTTCAAGACAGGGTTTCTCTGTGTAGCTTTGGAACCTGTCTTGGAACTTGCTTTGTAGACCAGGCTGGCCTTGAACTCACAGCAATCCACCTGCCTCTGCCTCCCAAGTGCTGGGATTAAAGGCTTGCCACCACCACCCAGCCCACTTGTGAAAGTTGATCTCACTATTGCTCAAGTTAGTCACTAGGTCCTTGTGATAAAGTTCCCAAACCAGACTGAGAGCCTGGACTTGGAGTTGGGATTTCTACCCTTAGTCTTGACTGTTCTGCAATTCTTCTCATCCTTTTCCAGTACAATTAGCCCTTTTCTTGCAAATGTCAAACCTATGTTTACACTCCTCCAGTA